GATATCATTTAGAAAAGACAGAAATAGTGTGATAACTTTGAAAAAACAGGGTGGAGGTGTATTTTTGGCTGTAAAAGATAGGTTTAAGGTAGCAGAATTTAATATTTTTGATGAAGAACAAGAGGCGATTTGTATACAACTTAGTTTAGCCAATAATAGGTATTTATATTTAGTTTTAGTTTATATCGTACCTGACAGTCCACTAGACGTGTATGAAATTTTTTTTGAAAGATTGGAATTGGGTTTATTGGGCAGGGCAGATACGGATTTTATTATACTGGGTGATTTCAACGTACCAGGGTTTAACAATGACACCTCGACCAACAATATTGTAAATAATCTAAAGGCATTTCAAGCTTTCAACAATCTTTCTCAATTCAACAGCATACAAAACAACAATGGTGTACTACTGGATCTCGTTTTTGGATCATTTGATTGCTTGGTGGTAGAACAGGCTGAAGAACCGCTGGTAGCAATTGATAGTCACCATCCGTGTTTGGATATTAGACTGTCAATTAAGACTTCTCAAAGCTGTAGACTGGTCCCTACTACCAAATTCAATTTCAAGAAAGCCAATTATCTTCTTATGTATGAGCTGTTTCAGGAACACGACTGGGATGATTTATGCGATTTCACAAATGCTAATCTGGCAATTGATGCTTTTTATAAAATAATACACAACATATTTGAGAAATGCGTACCAAAGTCTACACAAAAAAGTAAGAAGTATCCAACTTGGTTCAACAATGAAATAATAAAACTTTTAAAGCAAAAACACACATGCTTTTTGAAATCTCGTAAATACAAGTCTCAGTTTTGGAAAACCAGATATAACGGTTTGAGAACCTTAATCAGGAATAAAATCAAAACAGCCCATGCTGAATACTTGGTGGATGTTGAATCAAGCTTGAAATCTAACCCAAAACTTTTCTGGTCATATCTTAAAAGCTTTAAGGAAAGTCCAGAGATTTCGGATGAAATGGCGTTTGAGAATGAAATATTCTCGGGAACATTCAACATTGTTAACGGCTATGCAAAATATTTCAAATCTGTGTTTATCAGTAATGATAATATTGCCGATCACATCAATGCAAATAATGCTAAAACATACTTTTGTGATGCAGAAATATCTGTTTTAGACATAAAAAAGGCTTTCAAAAAACTTAAACCAAACAAGTCTATTGGCCATGATGGTATTCCTGCATTTATACTGAAAGGGTGCAGTGAATTTTTACTTGTTCCTTTAAAAATCTTGTTTAATCTTATGCTTAAAACCGCCACATTCCCAGAAAAATGGAAACTTAGTAAAGTGATACCTATACACAAAAGTGGTCCTAAACAAGATATTAAAAACTATAGACCCATAACAATAGTGTGTGCAATCTCAAAAATATTTGAAATTGTTATATTTGAATTGCTTTTCAATGAAGTATCACTTAAAATATCTCCCAATCAACATGGTTTCCTACCAAAAAGGTCCACATTTACAAATCCAACAATCTTTACGCAATATATACATGAAGCATTGAATAGGAAAACACAGGTAGATGTTATCTACACTGACTTGGAAAAAGCATTTGATAAAGTAAGTCACAATACTATTTTGGATGGTCTGGAGGCAATGGATGTTCCTCCATACCTGAATAATTTAATTCAATCTTACTTAGGAACAGACTCAAGTAAAAGGTATCAGTTTGTAGAATTAAAAGGTAGTCGGTCTACTCTTTTTGTTAGTTCTTCTGGTGTGCCCCAAGGGTCAAATCTTGGGCCCCTTCTTTTTGTTATTGCTTTCAATAAAATTTTTTGCAAAGTCAAAAATGTGGAATCATTGGCATTTGCCGACGATTTTAAATTATTTATTGAAATCACCTCGATTGAAGATTGCGAAATTCTTCAAAGAGAATTACAAGATTCAGCGAGTTATTGTCAGAAAAATAGCTTTAACTTAAATTTGAACAAATGCTCCTGTCTCAGTTTCAGTCGTAATAAAAACCCAATTGAATTTGACTATACAATAAATAATGAAAAACTAAAACGTGTTTCTGAACAAAAGGATTTGGGTGTAACTTTTGAAGATAATCTTTCATTTTCTTCTCATATTATTTCGAAGATTGAGAGTGCCCAGAGAGTTGCCGGGTTTATCTGTAGAAATACTAAACAGTTCAATATTGATGTCAGCATCCACCTATTTGATAGTCTGGTATTACCGATACTGGAGTATGGTAGTATAATTTGGTCCCCTCAGTATCACATTTGGATAAGTATTATTGAGGAAGTTCAAAGAAAATTTTTGAAGGCTATGCACTTTAGAAAGTACGGATTTTATCCACAAAGAGGTTGTGACAATGACTTCTTGCTAGGTTTATTTAATAGACTGTCTCTAAATCAAAGAAGAACTAAAATATTTCTCGCAACAATGTACAGAATACTAAAAGGTTATGTTGATTCTCCAGAAATAGTCGGTCAACTTCCTTTTGCCATAAATCGTGTCAACTCAAGAACAAAAAATGTTTTTTATTTAGCTTACCCACGGACGAATTTATATAAAAGCTCTCCAATATATAATTTGTGCAATATGTTCAATAAATATGCTTCAGAGACTGATATTGATAGCACTACCTACAGACAGTTCAAACGAATAATTGACTTAAAATTACGCAATAGTTAGCATGTAAGTTTCGTGTGTACTGTTCGTGTTTAATGTTGGTTTTACTTGCATTTATGTCGTTTACATTTTCACGTTGGATGTTGTAATAGTTATTAATTTGATGACATTTTACAAAACTTTTTATTGACATTTTACATACTTTTAGAATAAGCATAGGTATCTGTAATTGGCTTTTTGGCTGTAGATACTGTTTGAAATAAATAAATAAATAAATAAATAAAATAAATAAATAAATTATCGTTATTAGTCTAGAGCAGTGGTTCCCAAACTGGGGGGCGCGCCGCCTTGGGGGGGCGTGGAGCAACATTAAGGGGGGCGTAGGTCTTCTAAAAAATTCATACAAATTTCAAGCTTTAAAATAAAAAATCAGTTGCAATTTAAAAAAAGATGTCTACAATTCGGCAACAGCGCATACCTAAGCCAACGCAGCTTTGACATGCGATCATTGCTACAGCGCACGCTCTCTGCTCACTGTCATGCCCATTCCTCTTCTTCCAAAGCCCAGTTCAGACGAGTTACAGTAAGTAAAAAAAAATGTTTTTGTATAATGGGGGCAGGAAGGGGGGCGCGACCACTTCTCGATTTCAGAAAGGGGGCGCAAAAGAAAAAAGTTTGGGAACCACTGGTCTAGAGAGAGAGAGAGAGTGTTCAATGGTCGAAGCCCATTACCTACCTCAAATATATCTGCAAGTTGGGCTTCAATTGTTCCCTGGAGAGTCTCTAGTTTATTTTTTTTTTAAATAACCATGACATTTTAATATTTCCCTTTTTTTTTTCTTCTGAGATTATTTTCGGCATCTTCAATACGAAAGAAATTTGACAATGCCGAATTTTAACAAATGTCATTAGATTTTGCAGGTACGCAAAATAGTTAGGTACCGTTTATAATATAGCATTATTGAAAAATGTGTCAAATTTGATTTGCCAGATAGGCCAGAAAATTTTAATACCGCGGCACTTACGAAATTATGTAAACCACACTTAAAACTGTCTGGAATTTGACATATACTGTCATTATTATACGAGGGTCAACCTGCCAAATTTCCATGGATAATGCTACGCCAATAATAAGTGAAAAGCATATATTTGTGTTAAGATGTCATTGGTGGATACTAATGGCGTTTCCGATTGGTAGATCCAGTGCGAAACTAGTGCAATTTTTTCTATTTCTATCTTTTTCTCCTGCAGGTCGATTAAAAAGATGCAAATACACTCATGGCGTTTTCCATTTGTCATCTCAGTGCAGCATTCAGTGCGCACGAGAATTTTTCTAGTGCTGTCAAAAACGCGCACTGCAGTATAAATGGAAAGGAAAAATGCAGACTCGGCTCGGATTCTGGGGTTATGTAAAATCATATGTTGGTTTGCTGTTTTTGTTTAGCACTTGCCGGTTTCTGGTTTCCTGCTCTGCATGTTTTATAGTATAGGCTGTTCATTTGTACTTGCTACCTACTCGCAAAATCAGGAAGATCTGCTAGGAGCTGCTGTTTATGAGCTTATTATATGGGAGTTATGGGACAAGTGAACGCCGATCAGCTTATGAGATCTGCTTGAAAAAAGGAAAGCAGTACAAATGAACAGCCTAATTGTAATATTAATAAGTTTAGTCTGGGCTGTCGTTCTATGGTTCTAGGGTTAACTACAGAAACTATTTAAAAAATTGATGTATTTGAAATGCATTTTAGAGTAGAGTTAATGAAGAAGAAGTCATACAAAATAAATATTTAGTTCGATGGTCCAGATCATTTATTTAATATAACAGCTTTTTCTAGTTCTTCTCCGCGGTTTCACCCGCCGTTAAATTTAGAAGAAATTGACTATCTATAAATAATTTAAAGTAGGTACTTCGCATCAGACAATATTTTTAAACAACAATAATAATATATCTAAAAACAACGTGGATAAGCTGCGGAATTCGTTCAAATAATATAATTTCGTCAGAGAATTATAGAATTCAACTTCGCTGCTGCTACATATCAAATCCAAAAGTGCAACAACTTTTTCTTTGGAAATTAGCAGACATTTTTATGTACGGTACATATAAACAAAAACAAAACAAACTGCAATGGCTCTCCACGAGCCTTCCTAGCTCGTGCCAAAAAATGCGCATTGAGTGCATAAATAATTGCACTGAATTTCAAATGGAAAATGAAAACTGAAAATGTGCAGTCAAATGGAATATAAAAATTGCACTCAGTGCACCTCCGTGCAACAAATGGAAAACGCCATCAGTGCGCACTGAATCTACCAATCGGAAACGCCATAACTTTTTTCATTTTGATGTTTGTATACAGTATCCTCATATTGGCTTATTATCATTGTATTTTTACAGCTGACAGATGCCGATCAAGAACTGTACAAAAATTTCCCATTGGTAATTTCGGAACGATGGCAGAACGAAGTTGCTGAAACTGTGTTCGAGTCGGTCAATCTAGAAGCTGACAAAAACGAGCGTAAAAAGACTAAACAGAAGAAACCTTACAATGACGAAAAAGGTAAGATTTCTGACTTAGGAAAGTTGAAACTTATGTGATTTATAAAAACTTTCAGAGTCTGACTGTATCCTTCACGGCTACATAAAAAGATTGGGCGGTCCGTGGTCAGCTTCGTGGCAACTTCGATACGCCAAACTCTATCCGAATCGTTTAGAATTGTATCCAGAAGGTTCCCGACCCGAAATGGTACTGATGGACCAAATCGAAGAGGTGGCACCCGAATTGCAAAGCGTCAAAAATGAAAGTTGCATAGTACTACGAATGCACGCCCTCAAGGTAAAAACTTGACAATTTTCTTGCATCTTTTTGAATATTGTGTGTTTTTCAGGATGGTAAAAAAGAAAAAATTACATTGACCAATCCAGACGAAATCGGTCTAAAAGAGTGGTTGCAATCGTTGCGAGCTACTCACAAAGAAAGTCAGAAATTGCTCGCTTCAATGACTGGTAAAGTGGGCAAGATATACGGGACGGACAGCAACAATAAAAACAGCCAGGCTATTATACAAGCCAAAAGTGCCAACGGTAACTGAGATCCGGAAAACGGGATTGTTGTGGTCACTTGCTAGATTGCGAAGCAGAGAGAGATGAGTTTTAGGAACCAGGGGAAGGGAAAATGCCAAAAAAATAAATAAAAAATCAAATCAGTATTTTTTAATTAGAAATGTGCGCTTGTTGTGTTGTAGACTGTAGAGTAATTTTTTTCAAGTTGGCCTATATCAGACAATATTGATGACAATTGAGCTACAACCTCATTTGAAAAAAATGATTCTATCAGGATGTTGTAGTGGCCGAGAATTTTTAATGTAAATTGTGCCATTTCCAGTTGCGATTCTTGGTAATTCCATATATTCATTCTTATTGTTTGTCCTGTAGAACAAGATTTAACTTTTTGAAAAATATATGTCAATTATTGTAGATGGTGTAGTTTAGAAAGTGTAAATTAGGAATTTTTGCTAAAAATTCTTCCTGGCAAAAGTGTAAGGATCTTGTAGAATTTGATAAAATCTTATAAGACAGTTTAGTAAGAGTAGCAAGTTTCCATCCAGTGTATAAAAAAAATATCCTTTAAAGCATCTACTTCATAAAGCTGTTTTTTTTTTTAAAGGAGCAATTGAGAATAAATGCCACTTTTCTCCTCTTATAAAGAAAGACATTTTTTTTTCATGAGCCGTCACTGGAAATGACATACTTTACAGGGTGAAATTATTCTTCTGCAAAACACCCTATTGAATAATCAAAGTGTAAAAAAAAAAATAGTTGATTTTTGTCGTTAGTAGTGAGTTTCTTCCCCTTTGAAGAAAATATAAATTAATTTAATAATTTTAAAAAATCGACGCGCGATGACTGTTTTTTATTTTTCATGACAATTTTGTCAGTATTTGTATTGTAAAATTGTATCTAATTTAGTGTGGGGATGATAATTGATACCTATACAGATTTTTTTAAATTGTATTTATCAATTGCTATGCTGAACACGACCTGTATTTATAGTGTATTTATTAATTTATCATAATAATTAATAACTAGCTAGTGTGTATAATAGGCTCATTTTTTTCTACACAAGGGCCAGCAAGGAAAAATATAATAAAACATTAAATATTTGTATTATTACTTCTTTTTTTGTTTGACCCTTATAGATTATAGAGTGTTTTAGAAAGTACAAAGCTTAAAAAATAAATGGAACTTTTTTTACATGAAAATTATAACTGGCTGAAACACTCTGTATATGGAAAAAAAATCGTATTATTTTGCTACATTTAGGAGACTTGTATGACCAGAAATCTTTTTTATACACTACAGCCAGGAAAACCTAACTAATGTTAAATGTCACTAACTTGTTTAATAAAGATGAGACATTTGAAAATCCATAAATTTGGATGTTGATTGTTTTGTGCAAAAACTGCCATTATTTGCTTCGTAAACAGAACTATTTGAAACCTAAAATTACCAGGATATTGAAGAATATCAAACGATTTACTTTAAATCTTGACTTGACTTGTATGAATTCAGATATTCAAATTTGTAAAGGAATAATACTTGAAGTAGGCTAAACAAAATATAGTACAAATACTAAATTCTTGTATTTTCAATGTCCCATTCAATGTCGATTTTTGTTTTGTTTTTGTAAATACGATGTGATTTTTTTGTTTCCAATTCAGAGAGTTGTAATTCTAAAAAAAAAAAAAACAAATAGGCTAATTCTAGTCAAAAACATTGCATACATTTTACCGTAATCATAACAAAAATAAAAGTATTTTAGTCCAAAACATTTCAAAGTTTTATTCAATTACCACTGTAAAATATATTGACAATGGGATTCTACCATTTTGCAATGATTTGACTGCAACTTTTGCTGGTAACACTTCTTACGACGCATATATTCCTTTTCTATTTTTAGCCGTTTTCTATCCTTAGGATATAGGCCTCTTTCAAATTTGACCAGTGTCTTCGGTTTTGCGTAGCTCGGTACCAATTTAAGCCTGCAACCTTCTTTATCTCGTCGTACCATCTTTGTTGAGGTCTTCCAACATTTCTCCTCTCTTTCCAGGGTCTCCATCTAGTGATATACCCGCTTCAGTTTTCTGTATGTCTGGCCACGCAGTGGCGTATCTACCGGTGTGCGAAACTACAAAACAAAACGTAAAAAATCGAGATTACACCAAGAAAAAAAAAGTAGCTACAGAAACTTCAACATACTGAAACAGGAGATCCTTCCAAGACCCAAAATAGGAATTCTAGGCTTCAAACATTTTTCGCATTTAAAAAATTTTCAGATGGAAAATGCGTCCCTGATGCAATTTTGACGCGTTGTTATGACAAAAGTGACAGAATCTCAGACAGAAGTATCGTAACAATATGGCGGAAGTGGGATACGCTTTTTTCTCCTTATGTCGCCTCCTTATTATTCTACCTCAATGATTTTTCCTTAATTTTGCCTAAAAAAGTCAATTTTCTTTGAATTTTTCCTGGAGTGATTTTATAATGAGCTCCTCACTTTTCTCTTTATCCTGGAAAATTTTCCCTTTAGCAGTTTTCCAAAAAAAAATTTAAATGTGAAAGGATGAATTTTGCCTTCGATTTTGCTTAGAAAAGTCAATTTTCCAGAACTTTCCTATCGACTTTCCTTAGAGTGATTTTTCACTAAAAAATTTTGAAAATTTCCTATAATGAACTCCTCATTTTCTTCTTTCTTCTGAAAAAATTTCACAAGTTTTGCGTTATTAGTTTTCCAGAAATAAATTAAAATGTGAGAGGATGAGTTTTTCTTAATTCTACTTGAAAAAATCATTTTTTCAGAATTTTTCCTGGAGCGATTTTCCATTGGAAAATTTTGAAATTTTCTTATAATGAGCTCCTGACTTTCCTCTTTTTCCTCTTTTGCCAATTTTCCAGGAAGCAATTGAAATGTGAGAGGATGAATTTTCCTTCATTTTACTTGGAAGTCATTTTCCAGAATTTTCCCTAGAGTGATTTCTCACTGAAAAATTTCGAAATTTTCCTATAATGAGCTCCTCACTTTCCTCTTTTTCTTGGAAAATTTTCAAAATTTTCCCTCTGCTAGTTTTCCAGAAAAAAATTAAAATGTAAGAAATGAATTTTCCTTAATTTTGCTTAAATATGTCAATTTTCCAAAATTTTTTATGGAGTGATTTTTCATTTGAAAATTTTAAAATTTTTGCAATAATTTCTGTAATTTTCATAATTCTCGTAATTTTTCGTTATTCACGTAATTTTTCGTAATTTCCATTTTTCGTAAATTCTGTAATTTTCTGTAATATTGAGAAAATTTCCGTAATTTACAAATAATTCCTGTAATTTTGAATAACTTTGGGTAATTCCTGCATTTTTGGATAATTCCTGTAATTCCCCTATTTTTTTGTAATTTCAAAATATTTTTTGAAATTTTGAATTATGTATATAATTCCTATAGTTTTGAATTGATAATTTGAAAAATATAAGAATTGCAAAAATTTCGGAAAATTTTACGAAAATTACAAAAATTGAAATTAGCAGAAATTACAAAAATTTCAAAACTACAAAAATGTACTAGATTTTTAAAAAATTATGAGAATTATAAAAATTAAAAGAATTAAAAAATCACGAAAATAATTTATTAAAGAATTACAAAAATTGAATAATATTAGAAACGACGAAAAAATCAAAAAATTACCGAATTTGCGAAGATTCCTCAAAAAATTACGAAAATCACAAAAATTAGGAAAATTATGAAAATTCCATTAAAAAATTACGGAAAATACAGGAATATGGAAAATATAGAATTAATAAAAAATGAAAAAAATCGGAAAAATTGCAAAAATCACGGGAAATACATTAATTATTAAAAAACTAAGAGGAAAATTAAAAAATTACAAAAAAATCGGTTATTACAAAAGCAATGAAAATAAAAAAAATTGAAAAATACTGGAAATTCAAAAATTATGCAAAATTACAAAAATAATTGAAAAATTACATAAAATACGGAAACTACAAAAAAATAACAAAAATCATTAAAATTGCAAATATCATGAAAATTTGAAAAAATTACAACACTTACAATTATGGAAAAATTAAAATGAGAATTGCAAAATTACGAAAAAAACCGGGAATGGAAATACTTATGTAATGTAAATTATTTTAAAAATTACGGGAATTTCAAAAACTACGTGAAATTGCAAAAATCATTAGCAAATTACGGAAATTACGAAAAAATTACAAAAATCACGAGGATTACAAAAATCACGGGAATTTCAAAAATTATGTAGAACTGCGAAAATCATGAGTGAATTGCGAAAATTAAATTTGAAAAAAATTAGGAGAATTATAAAATTACGAAAAAAATCACGGGAACTTCAAAAATTATTAAAATTTCGAAAACATAACGTATTCGAAAAAATAACGTATAACGGAAAAATAACAAAAATTACGAGAATTGCAAAAATTACGGAAAATTTAAAAAGTTACGGAAACCACCATTATTAAAAACTAAAAAGCAGAATTATAAAATTTGAGTATTACAAAAGCAATGGAAATTATTGGCAATTTCAAATATTACGTAGAACTACAAAAGTCATTGATAAATTACGTAAATTACAGGAATTATAAAAATGAAAAATAACGAAAATTTCAAAAAATACGGGAATTACAATTATTGAAAAATTAGAAGAATTATAAAATTACGAAAAAAAATCATGGAAATTTCAAGAATTATGTAAAATTTCGAAAATTATTGGAAAATTAGGTAATATGGAAAAATATTAACAAAAATCACAAAAATTTCAAAAAATCATGGAAATTACATTAATTATTAAAAAAATTGAGAGAAGAATTATAAAATTAGAAAAAAATCGATTATTACGGAAAACAATGAAAATTATTGAAAAAAATTACGCGAATTTCAAAAATACGTAGAATTGCAAAAAATTATTGGAAATTACGTTTTACGAAAAAAAAAAAAAAACACGAGAATTTCAAAAATAACGGAAATTTCAAAAACTTACGGGAATTATCATTATTGAAAAATAAAATAAAGAAATTACGGGAATTAAAAAAATAACAGAAATCACAAAAATCATAAAAAATTACGGAAATTAGGAAAATCATAAAAAAAATTAGGACAATTAGAATAATTATAGGAATTGCAAAAATTACGGAAATTACGAAAAATTGAAAAAAAAAAAAATATCGGACATAACACAAAAATTAAGGAATTTGTTAATTAACGAAAATTGCAGAAATTACGAAAAATTTTGGGAATACGGAAAATAATTAAATTTTTTAAAAATTATGGAATTAGAAAAGTTACGAAAATTCTGGAAATAAATCACGGAAATTTATTAACAAATTGCAAAAATCGAAAAAACCTATGATGATTTCAAAAAGTTAGTAAATAACAAAAATTACAAGAATCAGGAATTACAATTACAAAAATTATAAAGACCGGGAAATTATAAAATTTCAAAAAACCTCTAAGGAATTTAAAAAATTACAATTGAAAATTGAATTGAAAATTACGAAAACTATCAAAGTTATGAGAATTATAAAAAATTACAGGGATTACGAAAAAGTTACGGGAATTACGAGAATTAGAAATCACAAAGGCTTTCGGGAAATGATTTTGAAAAATGCCCAGAAAAAATACGGAAATTACGGGAATTACCTACTAATTTTTGAAATATACAATAACGTCGAATTATAAAAATAACGGAATTTTCTGAGAAACTACGGGAATTAAAAAATTACGAAAATTTGAAGAACAACAGGAATTAATAAAAAAATTATAAGAATTATTTGAGAAATGACAGGAATTGAAAAATTTCTAAAGAAAAATTACGGAAATTACGAGTCTTCGAAAATTACAAAACTTGCTACAATGAGCTCTTTATTTTCTTCTTTTTCTGGAAAATTTTTACAATTTTCTTGCCAGTTTCCCGGTTGTAAGAGGGTGAATTTTGCCTAAAAAAGTCAATTTCCCAGAATTTTTCCTGGAGTGATTTTTGACTGGAAAATTTTGAAATTTTTCTACAATGTGCTCCTCACTTTTCTTTTACTTCTGGAAACATTTCATAATTTTCCCTTTGCCAGATTTCTAGAAAAACATTAAAATGTAAGAGGATGAATTCTCCTTAATTTTGCTGAAAAGTAAGTTTTTCAAAATTTTTCCTGGATTAATTTTTTACTGGAAAATTTTGAAATTTTCGTTAAATGAGCTACTCATTTTCCTCTTATTCCTGGAAAATTTTAAAAGTTTTCTCTTTGGAAGTTTTCTAGAAAAAAATTAAAATGTAAGAGGGTGATTTTTTTTTAATTGCTTAAATAAGTCAATTTTTTAGAACATATTTGAAATTTCAGTCGTAAAAAAAAAGAATCACCCTTTGTCGTTTGTATATGATATTTAAGAATACCCTGTATAATACGCAGTTAATTAATTTATATATTTGGGACTCCAATGATTTTTTAAGAGCCGGTATTTCAATATCACCTTAATAGTCTGGGAAACGACCGCATTTTTCCTACCCCGATCGAGTTATGTGTCGACGCTATTATCAATATATAGTATTATGTGCATCTATTAACCTGTATTCCTGCCTGAGAGCAAATGCTGCCGGAAATATCTTTTAACAAATTATTAACAAATTGAAAAAAACGTAACACTACCCCCATCGAGTTATGCCCTAAGTAGGGTATCAGATTGAAGGTCTCGATGTCCCCTAACCAAAAAGTCGATCCTGCCTCGTGAGAACTTGCCGGAAAACGGTGGCAGGACA